CCGAAAGCACAAGCAGCAGTGATGGAAGCACGTGAAAAGAGCCTGTGCGTTAAGAAGGAGTGCGGAACGGGGGCTGTGATCCCAAACGGAACAGCAGTGTCAGCTGCTGTTGGAAAGAAGAATGCATGTGTGAAGAAGGAGCGTGAGACTGGGACTGCAATCGCGAACGCGAAGCCAGCTGTGACTGCAGCTGGAAAGAGCGGTGCATGCGTCAAGAAGGAATGCGGAACCGGCATGGCCATCTTGCAACCAAAAGTAGCAGCGACTGCTGTGGTCGCTGATGAGGCAGCAAGTGCGGCGCTGGGGCAAAGCCCTTTTTGTACAAGCCCAATCAATGGCAAGGGGAAGCCGAGTAGGCCACCGCAAAGTAGAACTCACAGCTCCAAGCAGAAAAGGCAGAGGAAGTCAGGCTCTGAGATCAGAGGCCAGCATGTGACGGGAAGCGCCCTCGACGCTCCCTCTGAAGGGCAGTTCCCAGTGGTTGCAGAGCTCGAGTCGTCGACTACTTCCAGCAAGAAGCGCAAGCGGCATACAGAGGCTCTGACTCAGTTGGTGTTGCATCACTAAGCACTCAGTCCGTACCGATTGGCAGCCTTCAGATTGCTGATTTTTCATCCGTGATTGTGAGCTGCAGGCAAGCAAAGCGCCCCAGAAGCTTCAAGGGTCAGTACCTCGCCTGCAGGCCAAAACTGAGAGAAGGCATGTTTGGTTGGAAATGATATAGTCGTGTCTGAACACGTTGAGTCTTGGCGTCGCAGCTGAATTTTGATGATCTAGGCCGGAGATGCATCTGAAGGAAAGCCTCTTGACTGTAGCTGGAGCTGGTGTGCTGCAATTATCTTTGCTCAGAGCCACGTCAAGAAAGGCAGCTTCAACACAAGCATCCCAAGGTCTGATGCTTGTGTCGAACCTCAGCCCGAATTGGTGACTGATAAGTGCAAAGTACTTCATGGCAGCAATCTGGGTTTTCCTGAAGTGCACGGCCGAAATCGAGTTCCCATGGTGCTGCAGGTACCTGCTGCAAAGCGGCGACGTCATTCAAAGCAAGCAGGCTGACCTGTGGCATCAGCGATTTTTCGCAATACTACATTTGACAAAGTGAAGGAATTCAACCAGGACTTGAGGGCTTGTTGCCTCGGCTTGAGAAGGCGGTAGTGATGAACAAGCTCTGGCTCTAGGAGAATTTGCCATGGATTGGAGTGTTAGAGCAGTGGCCATGGATGGCCATGGTAGTCTGGAGGCTAGGCATGTGCTGGGCAGATACCGAGATTTTATGAGATGCAGGGCGTAGAAAGCTTTGGGCAGCTCACTGGAAAGAGTTCAGGGGCCGCATGGGCTATGTTGGATTTTTGCTCAGTGCTGTCTCCCTTTGCTGTTGAGTCTTTGTACTTAAGTAGCATAGGAAATTCTGCTCAATGAAAAGATGCAGGAGAACATGACCCTGCGTGAAGCGTGGACCCCCTTGCAACCAAAATTATCAGACTCGGTTTGGATGCCTGAAACACAGCAGTGCCCCAGAGGCTTCAGAACAAGAATGTTTTGCTTGATTTTGTGTCGGTACGCCTTTCCCCCTTGGAGATTTTGAGATGTATCGCAGTGCATGGGGCATTGATGCTAGTCACGATGTTCGTTTAATTGGGCGAGTGTGGCAGTGTATGTGGTGTCAGAAGCAGGGCCCTCTTAGCAGAGGCACACGCTGGGGCACCTGCTGCTGTTAAGTGGATCTGAACTGCGTAGCAGTACATGTGATAGGAAAGAACCTTTTGCCCTTGCCTCCACGGCAGTTGTCGCTTGGAAGATATAGGACACTCCAGCTTGCCATTTCTTGACAAAGATGTTGGAACCAAAGACGTTGCGTGGTTGAAAGTCCAGTCTAGTAAAGGATGCCAGTACAGCTTTGCAACAACCAAATTGAGCCGAGCCGCAATTTGTGCAAAGGGTCTGTGGGATGTGCCTTGCAGGGGCATGCCGGGGCTGTGACCGGCAGCTTCCGGAGGCAGAGCTGCCAGTGAAAGGATTTCTGTTCGGAAGCGGAGCCGTTTGCGGTAAAATGCTGATGCAGACAGTCCTGTTCAGCTATCACTTTGTGCTTGCGCGCGTTGCCAGGGCATTCATTGCGGCAGCTTAGCTCAGGAAAAAGGCACAGACAGATAGGATGCAAACACAGTGATAACTTTCTTGCATGAGCCAGTGCAATTACCTGATGGTCCTGCAAGGCTCAGCATTCTGCGACTTGCCGGCATTCGGCTTCCATGGATGTTGCAATCTCACCAACTTTCAACAGCAGGGCGCGGGGATTCACACAGCAGATAGCACACGTCTGATAGCTAAGTACCACAGGGCCATAAGGGTCAGAGGGAGGCGGTTAGCTTAAGCTGACATGGCTTATTTGGGCTTTCAAGGTCACACGAGCGAATTTCAGCTTTGAAAGATCAGTTCAGGAATCAATGTCATCAATCAAACCTTGTTCCTGAGAATCTGTTGGGATGCTCGTAAGTGCATGAAGCGGCGGCTGCTATTGAGGTGACAGCTGCTCGGAGGAGCTACGCAATCAACATAACTTGGTCCGCATTGGCATCTTGGACGCGATTTGCGGCCTGAGATGTTGTGTGTGTGTGTGAGAGTCATTCACACCCCAGGGGATTTTCTGTGGTGCAAAGATCCACGAGCACGCGGAGCGGACGTGGCGTGCCCAGAGGGTCCCTGGCACCCCAGCACCCTGGAGAGAAGTGGAGCAGTCGAGACATCAGGAATGGAGAGATGAGGGAAACTGAGGCCTCCATTCACTGGCCGGGCATTTGCCTGCAGCTTGTTTTCTCATCCAAGCAAGAGCCATGCGCTTGGCCTTCATGGTAGCCGGTAGCAGCCCCAAGTGTCATGTGGCTTAGGAAGCGACCTTACGTGGTGCGGCTTGTCCGCCCGACTCCGGGGCAGAGCGGAGCGGCTCCACAGGCCCAACATGACGACCATATTCGCGTGTGGCCCTTACCGTGTGTCGGATGTCTCGGTATCTCTGTGTCATCCTGCGTCTGCTGCGTGCGGATCCGATTGACAGGTGCGGCGGCGAGATGTGGTGTTCTGGGAGGCCTGACATCTCCCAAAGCGATTTGCATAAACGAGCAACACGTGTCCTTGTCATAGCTAGAGACTTCTCGGAGCCACTTGCACGCCGTTCGGCTTTGCTGACAGACAATGTCGTTAAGAAGGGCAAAGCTTTCAGCAGCTTTCGGCGGCATTGTTTGGCTTCGTGCTTGCAAGGATGGCTTGCTGAATGCCAGCATTGAGAGAATTGCGAAAGGACGTAAGAGTCACTGACTCAGCACAGACACGCACACAGCGGTGGAGCTTGTGGCCATTGCAGCAAGTCCATGTAGCAGGCAGACGGGCTGTCGAGTTGGGAGCAGCTTTGCGATTGGCAGGCATGACGCTGCTGGATCTCTTCATTTCTGGGCTTCAGTTTCAAGCTTTCGAGGAGTAGGGACAGGTTGGAGGGTGAGGTTTCCTGCTCTTGGCAATGTTGATTCAAACCTAGTCATAGCAGTTTCACGACAAGTATTTTCACGAACACCACGAATCACGGACCAACATGTCGCTGTCCAGTTGTTCAGTTTGTCCAGCTGAAGACTGCTAGTTGAGCACTGTCAAAGATACGTGCTGGCAGGAAGCTTGTTCAGAATTTGTGCAACCTATAACTTTACAGCGATGTTTCATGGCTGGCCCGGTGCCTGAGTCGGCACATACGCACAACATGAATGTGTCACTGCAAAGTCTACGACGCTACGAGATGTGATTGCCAGAACCGGACCAACTAAGCACGGATTCGACCATGCAACATGTTTTAACGGTGCATGCTTGCATTTCTTGGGAGCAAGCACAATGGTCACCGCAGCATACTTGACCTGGGACCATACTTCATGATCACTACCAGCTCGCGCGTACCAGAGAGCAAGCAGCGCTTGTAAGGACTGCCATTGCTTTAGTACCCTCTACTTGCTACACAGCTCTGGGAGTTCGAGCAGCGGCACAGCGCCTTTGTGTTGCCATCTGTTTAGACGATTTAAAGATGGTTGGTTTTGTTGGGAGCAACGTTCTTTTGGAGTTTGGAGGTGAGGAGTCAGGGGGTGGGGTTCGGCGCGTCGAAATTGATATGGCCACCGGCCAATATGAAAGGTCCGGAACAAGGGCGAGCGCACATCCCGATCCAGACCCGGATTCAGAGCTCCGGATCAAGTCCTCAAATTCCGTTCCAGACCCCTCCATTGCAGACCAACGAATGTAATATCTCAAAAATCACATTGCGCTGGGTGTCCGCTCCATATCTGTTCCACACCCGTTGTAGACCAAACAACATATTTAGCGCACACTCACCTCGTATCATTTGTGAGAACCAGCAAGAGTCAGTCATTGTTCCAGACCCTTCAGATCAAGTGTGCGATCCAGACCCTCCGGATGAGACAGCATAGGAACGTGCACTCAGGGCACGTGGTTTTGATCAGTAGCCATATATATATATATCCTATAAAGCCCCATACAACCCGACATATTCCGTGTATATATATATATAACACATATACACCCCATATATCACTATATGAACCCGAGGGAAGGTGTAGACCCTCAAAAGCCTCAGGTTGTGCAAGCGAAGAGCCAGATTCTGGGTTCCGCTCGGCTTTCTTTTCTCCTTGCTTGCAGGGTATATACATATGAATGTAAATTACATCGTATTCTACAACATTATCTTATGTTTTATTCTATTGGGTCATATAGGGGTTATATAGGGAAACCTAGGAAAATATGGCGTGATATCATGGGGTTTAGGAGGCTGTAGGCTTGTCAATTTACAGCTCACACTGGGTATGTGGGCTGTAGATGCGCTTGAGAGGGTTAAAGTCCCCCGCACCACTAGACCCTATAAACTCATTATCCCACAAGTTTACAATCTTTAAAATCGGCGGCATGCTCGGACATACTCGTTTTCCGTTCCCCAAACCTTGCCTCTTTTTCTCCTTGTCACAACCGAGGAACTCATTCACCTCCCTGCGCGGCGCAGTGAGCACAAACAAGAAAATCTGTGTCGCCGAAGGTTCTGCTGATGAGGACCCGCCTTAGTGCGGTTTCAAACACTGAGGGTCCCGGTTAGTTTGCGGCTTGTAGGGGGCACGAGAAGAGAACCATTGCATGAGTTTTCACAAGATGTCACAACCTTCAACTGCCCTTTATGGGGCAATAGCCGGCGGTTTCATGAGGAGATAGATATAAAGGGTTCCCGGGCATCACAAGTTTCTGGGTTTGGGGTCTGGGGCTATGGACTGCGGATGTGAGAGTCGCTCCTTCCTGCATTCCAAGGTGACCATGGCTACTGTCATTGCCTTTTTGTCAGCTTACGCTCTTTTATCATTACGTTCATTCTTAGGACTGTTGTTCTTATGGTCGTTGTCATCCTTAGGATGCTGACTGCGGGACCTGATTCTGAAGACTTGCTTTACTCCACTTGGACAACCTGTTGGGGCTCCGGAATTTTCAGGCGTAGCCATTTGAAGCAATACTCAGGAGGCTCAAAAGGTAGCGT